GACCAAAGGCAAAGGAAAGTATTTCGATAGAAGTAGAGGTGGCTACAACAAATAGAATGGTAGAGGAAACCAAATCGAAGGAGACGTGTCGAATCAAAGAAGACCACACCAAGGCAACCAAAGAGGTGGTGCTGCAAGCAGAGGAAGAGGTGGTGGTCAAAAACCTGATAAAAGTCACATTCAATGTTACAATTGTCAGAAATATGGACACTATTCGAGTGATTGTCCAGAAAAACGAAAGAATCAAGAAAGTGATGCAAAGCTTGCAAAACATGAAGAAGAAGAAGAGATGATGCTGATGGTCACAACAAAAGATGAAGATAGATTCAAGGACCAATGGTACTTGGATTCATGATGTTCATCACATATGTCTGGAAGGAAAGACTGGTTCGTCAATATAAAACCCTCAACGAAAAATATGGTAAAATTTGCAAATGACAACACCCTAGCAGCTGAAGGTATTGGTGATGTTATGATCATGAGGAAAGATGGCAAGAAGTCAGTAATTTCGAATGTATTGTACATACCAGGCATGAAGAGCAATTTGCTCAGTATAGGGAAGTTGGTCGAAAAGAATTATAAAGTGTCAATCGAAGATAAGTTGATGAGAGTTGTTGATGCAAATGGGAGAGTAATCTTGAAGGCTCCTATGTCTCAGAATCGAACCTTCAAGATTGAACTAAATGTGATGGAGCACAAGTGCCTTTTGACTACAGCTAGAAGAGATGAATGGATATGGCATTATAGACTAGGTCATCTCAACTTCAGAGACATCAGAGATTTGAAGAGAAGAAATATGGTTTCAGGATTGCCTGAAATTGACATTCCAAACAAAGTATGTGAAGAATGTGTGCAGGCGAAGCAACACAAGAATAGCTTCAGCAAGGATGCAGGAAGTAGATCGAAGGCTAGTCTCGAAGTCATATACTCTGATGTATGTGGACCAATCCAGGTGGATTCGATGGGAGGTAAGAAATACTTTGTTACATTCATAGATGATTTTAGTCGAAAGCTATGGACTTACCTGATCAACAAGAAAAGTGAAGTGATCGAAGTATTTACCAAGTTTAAGTCCATGGTCGAAAGACAAAGTGGTCGAAAGCTCAAAGTTTTGAGAACTGATGGTGGTGGAGAATATGTGTCGAAAGACTTCGACAGATTATGTGAAAAGGAAGGGATTATGCATGAGGTGGTGCCACCCTATACTCCACAGCAAAATGGAATTGCAGAAAGGAAAAATCGAACCATCATGAATATGGTGAGAAGTATGTTGAAAGGCAAGAATTTACCTAAAGAGTTCTGGGGTGAAGCTGTTTCGACTGCAACTTATATTTTGAACAGATGTCCTACAAAGAAGCTAGAAGGAATTACTCCAGAAGAATGTTGGTCTGGTGTGAAGCCTAGCTTAAGTCATCTGAAAGTATTTGGATCTATTGCACATAGACATGTGCCAGATCAGTTGAGAAGAAAACTTGATGACAAGTCAAGTCAAATGATCCTAGTTGGATATCATTTGACAGGAGGCTACAAGTTGTTCGATCCAGAGAACAAGAAGATTGTGATCAGCAGGGACGTGATCATAGATGAGTTTAAAGAATGGGATTGGACTGCAAATGTCAAGAAAGATTCAGTGGGAATCTTATTCGAAGAGCCAGAAACTCAAGTCTAAAGAGAAGTTCGACAAGAGGAACCAGCAGATATACCAAGTACAAGCAGACCTCAAAGAACAAGACACATGCCTGCAAGATTGCAAGATTGTGTGATTACATCAGATGATGTAATAGATGATGAAGGTGAGCTGGTACATTATGCTTTCTATGCAGATGTCGAACCTGTTAATGCAGCTGAAGCATTAAAAGATTCGAAGTGGGTGAAAGCAATGAACGAAGAAGTAAAGTCTATCGAAGACAACAACACTTGGTCACTTGTCGAATTGCCTCAAGGCAAGAAGGCAATTGATGTCAAGTGGGTATACAAAGTGAAGACGAATTCGAAAGGTGAAGTAACTCGACACAAAGCAAGACTTGTGGCGAAAGGATTTCTACAGAAAGAAGGAATAGACTTCGACGAAGTCTTTGCACCTGTTGCTAGGATCGAAACAATCAGGCTGGTTGTTGGTCTAGCAGAAATCAACAGTTGGCACATATGTCAGATGGACGTGAAGTGTGCATTCCTAAATGGACCCTTAGATGAAGAAGTCTATGTTAAACAACCAGTTGAGTTTGTGAAACATGACGAAGAAAGAAAGGTGTACAGGCTACATAAAGCCCTGTATGGATTGAAACAAGCTCCAAGGGCTTGGAATAAGAAAATTGATAGTTTTCTAAGGGAGAAGGAATTTGTGAAGTGCACAACTGAACATGGAGTATATGTAAGAAGAAGCAAGAGTAAATTGCTTATACTATGTCTCTATGTAGATGATTTGTTGATAACAGGTAGCTGCAAGAGTGAGATTGAAGGCTTCAAAGGTGATCTCAGCAAGGAATTCGAAATGTCTGATTTGGGTGAGATCTCATATTTCCTTGGTATCGAATTCTACAAGAGCAGTAGAGGTTTGATGATGCATCAAAGAAGATATGCAGGAGAAATTCTCAAGAGGTTTGATATGGAAGAATGCAACTCAACTTCGACACCTGCAGAACCAAGACTGCAACTGTCGAAAGATACAGATGAAAATGATGTTGATCCAACCCAATACAGAAGACTTATTGGATCATTAAGATATCTTTGTCATACAAGGCCTGACTTAGCATACAGTGTAGCTATGGTAAGTAGATTTATGCAGAAGCCAAAGGTATCACATCTAGCAGCAGTGAAGAGGATACTAAGGTATCTCAAAGGAACTTTCGATTATGGCATTTTGTTTCCTGCAATTGATAAAGGAAAAGAATGCAAGTTAGTGGGATACATTGATTCGAGTTGGTGTAGTGATGCTGAAGATCGAAAGTCAACAGCAGGATATGTGTTTATGCTAGGTGGTGCACCAATTGCTTGGAATTCAAGAAAGGAACCAGTAGTGGCATTATCATCATGTGAAGCAGAATACATAGCTGCTTCTCTTTGTGCATGTCAAGCAACTTGGATGATGAGCTTGGTCGAAGAGATAACAGGAAAAAATCATGGAGCAATTACCATGAAGATAGACAGCATGTCAGCTATTAATCTGGCGAAGAACCCAATAGCACATGGTCGAAGTAAGCACATCGAAATGAGGTTCAATTATCTTCGAGAGCAGGTAGCAGATGGGAAGATGAACTTGAAACACTGCAGAACTGAGAATCAGATTGCAGACATCATGACGAATGGAGTGCAAGTCAAAGTATTCAGAAAGCTAAGGGCCATGATGAACATAGACAGTTTAGACACAATGAATTAGGTGGTATGTTAAATTATAATTCATATGTGTCAAAATTAGATTTGATTTTGTTTTAGATTTAAATAGATTTGAATTTAAGTCTAGAATAGATTTGATTAGATTTGATTTAGTAAAAAGATATTTTGGGCTTGGGTCTTAGCTTAGGGAGCAAGCTAACCTAAATCTATAAATAGAGGGAGTAACTCTTATTTTGTAATTAAGTCATTCACAGTATTTTGCAGTTGCAAAGTGAATAATAAAATTTCCATAGTTTGTGGGCAGAGAGAAACTCTGCAGAAATATTTCTATTGTCTTTTCTTGTTTGTCTCATAACTAATCATCAGTGGTGGTCGAAATTCATCATAGAGTATTGGTCGATTTCCAACACTAAGGATTTTGAGTGATCCCTTAGTGATTCAAGATAAAGTTCTATGATACTTTCAAGGAATATTAGGGGGCTTAATAAAACATGTAAGACTAAAGAGATTAGCTCCCGACTCCTGATTTTTAATATTGAAATTATAGTTATTATTGTAACTAGGGTGAAAAATGCCAAAGCAAAAGTTGTTAGAGATAAATTGAAACTCAGGGGCATGTAGTTGGATAACTATAGAAAGCATGATAATGGTAGGATTTTGCTGGAGTGGGATGATAGCATAGTAGATCGCAGACATGTTATGAGCACTAACCAAATGATTCACTGTGGAGTTTAAACTTGAGTGGGAAGTTTTTGAATTGCATTACTACTATATATGATCTCATCCAACTAGAGCATAGGAAAACTTTGCGGAAAGACATTGAGAAACTACATTATCAGCAACATGGGCCCTGGTATCTAATAGGATATTTTAGTAATGTTATGAAAACTAAGGATAAAGTAGGGGAACATGGTGACTGAAGCTAAATACATTGATCTGGCCAACATAGTGAAAAATATAGGGATTTTTGAAATGGATAGTATGGGAGACTACTACACATGATCTAATAAACATGTTGAGGGGACTATCTACTCTAGAATAGATAGAGTCTTGGGTAATTTTGAGTCGTTTCACAGACACGTGAACACAATTCTGACAATCATGCCTCCTGGTGTGTTAGACCATGCATTGCTTTACTTGATACGGAAGGAAAAGAATATTATCAAAAGATCCAAATTCAACTTCATTAATAATGTAGTAGCTATAAAGGGTTTTGCAGAAGTTGTAGCTAATAGTTGGAGGGAACCTTTAAGAGGAAGCCCTATGTTTGTGTTATGAAAGAAACTAAAAATATTGAAACCTATCCTGAAGAACATGAGAAAACCTTTAGCAGATAATGAACAACAAAAAAATTGAAGAAGTCAAAAAGTGCACAATAGAAGTCATCAAATGGAATGAGCTTGAGGAAAAAGTTTTGAGACAACGCATAATTCAATTATTTACATTTAAAATTTACTTATATATTTAATTCCAATTCATTTTAATCAAGAATTTTTTTTTTAAATTAAAAATTTTCACCGCAAAATCAACCTTCAATATATATATATATATATATATATATATATATATATATATATATCAAAGAAGGGAGTCAACAATTATTTGAAGCTTCCTTAACTACATGGTCAAATGGAAGAAATTTGTGACGTTTTTCACTTCTATTAACCTCATTGAGCAGCACTTTTTTTTTCAAAGAGACTAAGTCTATTATAAGCCAACCTTGACTTATAAGCAGCATTTTTGTATTCCCTCCATGTGAATTCTTTGTACAAACTCTCTTCTTTATTTGATACCAATATTGAAGGTAAAGGTGCCATCTTTTCATTCAAGGGCGGTCCTCCAAAATAAATCATTGACAATCTTGACATGTTTGTGTCAGTCAATACCCTATGCTTTACACTCTTTAATCCTCCATTTGTCATCACCTATGAGTTAAAAAAACATATAGAAACACCAAAATCAAAAATAGTACTAGCAAGTATCAAATGTCCTTAGTAGAATATTGCCTTATAGAAGCATCGACACGTCTTTCTCTTTACCACAGAATGTTGAGATGGCCAGATAAGGGAAGAAAAACAACAAAATTAATGGGTGGCAGATTGTGAGGAACAATATTGGCTTTTTTTAAAGGTAGAAACAATAATTTTATTCATCCAATAATAGCAAATGTTTTGGAAATCAGTCTCGAAGTTACCATGTAAAAGTGGGAAAATAGATAAGAGTTCACTTTAACCAAGTACTTGGCTCTAGTGCTCTAGTGTAATACCTGTAAAGAATCACCAACGATGATGAAAAAGGAAGTATGATCAGGTGGGATTGATACCCAAGACGTTCCATCTCTGAGACAAATTTGCAATCCTGATGTGTTGTTAGACCTTAAGACAGATATGATCTGTGGGTCTGTATGTTCTCCAAACCCAATCAAATTTCCTCCAATCAATGGTGTATAGTGATTTACCCTCAAACAAGAATCACTTCTCTCATCTCTCACCAATCTGCTAAACACATTCCTCTCTTCAATCCGCAATCCATCTGCCACTAATTCCAACACTTCACAACACACACCCTTCACTGCCAATATGTATTCTTCCACAGCACACCTTCAATGTCAATAATTTTGTCAGTAAATATAAAACACATGTTGGAAGAAGAACAGAAGTTATGTTTACCTGAACTTGTTTGTGTTTTGATGTAAAAGTTGAAGAGATTTGGGAGAGATGACATAAGGGTTAGTATTGAGAAGAAGATATTCAACCCAACCATTATCACCATTTGTGCCAATACTTTTGCTTCCATAGCCAAAAGGATCTGGAGGACCCGCTTTCTCTTTCTCTAACTGAGTTTGTTTGAAAAACTTGAGAGTTTCATTTTCTAGATTCGTCATTAACTGTAATGGAACATGGTGGTTGACAACCTTAAAGAATCCGAACTCAATACATGCGTTGACTATTAGTGTTTTAGCATCAGGGTGTGAAAGGTCAACCTCTGGAACACCTTTGAATACAGTTGTTGTTGGTTTGCATGTGTTTATGAGAAATAACTCGTTTAATGTGGCTTGTTGGGAAGAAAGAACAACCATCGTTGTACTTGTTTCTGTTGTTGTATATTACTATCACAAAAAGGGGAATACAAGCAAAGCATGTGTATGTGTGTGTGAGAGAGATAGAAAGAGAGAGGTAGGATTTATAGTGCTCTAAGGTTGAGAAAATGAGGAAGTGTTATGAACTAAAAAAGCTATCTGGCTCTGACTGTATTTGGGGCATTTATACTATCGACTCAGATATTTAAGTATATAGGGTTTGTCTAACCTATACAATGTTGCACATGTTAAAGCTACTTAAAATAGTAATTTTTTATTGAAAAACAATAATTATTTATTAAATTATATATTTAATATAAAATACTCAAATTTCAATATAAATTTATTATTTTTTGAATTTCTTAACATATATAAATTTGCACATAATAGAAAAACCCATATATATATATATATGTCCACTTTAATTGTGGTGTTGGAGAAAGCAATGTGTGAATAGAAAGCAGTATATTGGGAATGGTCCTAGGACGTGTATTTCTATAGAGAAAGTTTGTTCTGATGTGTTGAAGTTGAAGCACACTATGTATGAAAATATGTATTCTTATCACTTTTCTAAAGATTTGTGGCGACACGTTTAGCGTTGGGAGATGTTGAGGTGAGGTATGATAGATGTATTGCATATATTCGGTCTATAGTATTTCATAAAAGGAAAATGCGGTCAATCCAACAAGATACCTACGAGACTTAGTTATTATTCCTCTGTTTTTTCTTCTTCTTATAGATGGATACGTCAAATTTAATATCAGGGCCTTTACTTGGCCTTTACTTTGAAATGAACTTTTTATAAAATTTAAGTATTTTATCTTAGTATTGTTAATGCGTAAAACAATTTTAGTGAATGAAGAAAGAGAAAATAAAGTTATAAAGATTGTATTATTGAATTGAAATTATTATAAATTGATTTATAAATTACTCTATTTATATATAATTAACTTGTACATTAAATAGACTAATAAATCTTAATTAAATTTTGGTTTAGATTATATAATTTGGATTATATCTAATATTATATCTAATATTTCAACATATCCCAATAATCTAAGTTGTTAAATCTACATTAGTCATAGTCGATCTTAATTATTCTTAATTTCTTTCTCAATATCAGGAATCTGGCAATCTTCGGTTCTTTGGTGAAAATATCAATCAATTGTGCTTCACTTGAACAATGTCTTACTTCAAGTTCACCTTGATTTATCTTTTCCTTCAAGAAGAGAAATCTAGCTTCAATATGCTTACTTCTTCCATGCAAAACTAGATTCTTTGTAAGATTAATAGCTGACTTGTTGTCGATCTGTAACACTAGAGGTTTCTTCACTTCGACCTCGATCTCTTCCAACACAAATCAGATCCAAATTGCTTGACACACAATATATGGTCCTGCTATATATTCAGCCTCGCACGATGACAATGCCACCACAAGTTGCTTTCTCGAGCACCATGAGATTGTGGCACCAAAGACTTGAAATAAATAACCAGTTGTGCTTCTTCGATCTTCCTTATCTCCACAATAATCAGCATTTGAATAACAAGTAATAGTAGCTTATTTGCTTTCAGAATCTCGTTGAAATAGGATTCTACAATTTATCGATCCTTTTAAGTATCTCAGAATTCTTCTTGCAGCCTTCATGTGTAACACCCTTGTTTCACTCATGTATCTGCTCACTAATCTGACTGCGAAACTTATATCAGGTCGACTGTTGCACACATATCTCAGATATCCAACTATTTATTTAAACAACGTTACATCGACTTTGTCTTTGTCTCGATGCTTCTCCAACTTCAAATTTGGTTAGAAAGGCAAAGATGATGGAGTCAAATCATTCATCCTAAATCTCTTGGGTATCTCTTTGACTTACTTTCTTTTTGCATCATACCTTGTTTGACATTTGAAATTCCATGCCTAAGAAATAAGACAATTTTCCCAAATCCAACATTTCAAATTCTCTCATCATTAGCTCTTTGAACTTCGACAGGTTCTCCAAGCTATTTTCAGTTACCAGCAAATCATTAATATATAAGCAGATGATTGTTATTATCTTGTGTTATTACCTGAACATAGACACCATACTCAGACTTGCATTTTACAAATCTCAATTCGACTAAGTATGAGTCGATGTTCTTGTTCCATGCCCTAGGTTCCTGTTTGAGGCCATAGAGTGCTTTGTGCAACTTGTATACCTTAATTGCTTCCTTTTGATTCACAAACCATGGAGGTTGTGTGACATAGACCTCTTCGTCTAAAGGACCTTTTGTAGCGACTGTTTTTTAAAACAAGAGTCACCACTATTAGTTTTTATCCTAGGGAAGGGAATCTAACAGAAAACCCTAATTCGCAGGCAGAGATTCTAGGTTTCAGACTTCTTTAGACGAAAGGAAGGTGTTAGGCACCTTTCATCTACCTTGTTCACAAGGATACTAGGTTTTAGGTTTGAGTTGGGGAAACAAGATTTAAATTTTATTAAGGGAAAGGGTTTAAATTTTTTATAGGGGAAAGAGTTTTATTTATAATGGGAGAACTCGCTACGATTTTTGATCGTATGCCTACGTATCCTCTTAAGAGGAATCAGAGTCCCAATTCGTAGTTCGTACGGTGTTGGTTTTTTTAGGGGTTTACAAACATATTTTGAATCACCTCGCACTTTGGTCGGGAGTGGTGATTGCAGAGATTTTGACTAAATGCGCGGTAAGTCAAAATCTGTTTGAAATCCTTTTGCAAAAAAACAGTTGATTAGCTTAGTTTATTGCGAAAAATAATTTGTTGTTTTTTGCGTGTTTTTTAATCGTGTTAATTGCAAAGATCTTGATTAATGCATGATTAAAAAAAAGATTTAATGCAAATAATATATAAAATAATATATACAATTTTGATATAAAAATGATTTAAATGATCATATAATATTTACATATAATATGAAAATAAATAATATTTACATAGTAAATTAAAATAATGGTAAATAGAAAAAGAAATTAATAGATAATATTTATAATATAATAACAAGAAATTAAGTAATTATAATAGTATATAAAAATATTAAAATATGATAATTATAAAAAATAGAAAATATGTGATAATATAAAAATAGGAAAAAAAATTTAATTAAGTTAAATCGGGGGGTGTAGTTTTGAACTAACAAGCAAATCAGGGGGGTGCCTTTAGAAGACTGGGTTAGGCCCAACATAGTCCAGACAGGGGGGGTGTGAGTTGTTTTGAAGCTTTAGTAATGTGGCAGAAGGGGGTGCAGAAATGAATTGGGCTTAGGCCCAGACGCTTGGGAGAGAGGCTGAGGGATTACGTGGATGAGGGTGTACGTTAACTATCGTGCAGACTTGGCCTCTGGCCGTCTGATCAAGATCACATGGATGAAATTGAAGGTGCATGATCATTATGATGTACGTGCTGACACATGATTGAAACAAAATAATTTATGTTTTTTTTTCCATTTTTTGTATAATTCATTTTCAATTCTTTTACAGTTAATCAGTCTTCACCTTTCTCTCTCGCGCTAGCCCCAAATTCTCCTTATTCCCTAACCCTAACAAAATCACGCCTGCGGTTTAACCATCATCAAAACCAATCTTTTCATCACAACCCCTAATCAAAACCCCAACCAAAAATAAGAAGTATCAAACGAATGAAAGATAAGCGTCTTTACTCCTTCGCGATTCCAGCTTTTGAGCTCTTTTCGATTGTTTTTGTTTTGATCTTCTTCTCTTTTTACGATTCACATGTTTCGGTGGTGTTGAAGAAAAGTCTCTAAATAATAAGTCCCCGTCCAAGAATTTGGATACCTTGGCCAATGGTGAGGGGACCGACATAAAAGATAAAGGATAAAGTAAGGGGAAACGTCATCATGTCGCGACCATCTCTCAGGGAGTTCCCCAGGAGAACATCCCGCCAAAGGCGACAATGAAAATGAAGATTATGGAATTGATGGTCGTCTATAAGAAAGATGGAATCGCCTTATCTAAAATCCTAGGTAGACCAATGTTAGGGTTTCAGGACAATGATAAAGTTAGGGAACCTCGAGTGACATCTTCTCTCTAGTCATAACCGCCCTGGTCGGCCATTTCTATGTGACAAGAATACTTATTTATGGCGACAACTCATGTGATATAATGCATTAAACTCTAGTCATAATCGCCCTGGTCGGTTGGGCCGTTACACCCATCAGTGCCAATTTTTGGCATCATAAAAAAATAGAAACACATAATGCATAAAAACTTACCCTACAACAACACAAAATATATTCAACACACAAAACACTATTTTCACATACTACATAAAGCTCCTCTAACTCTTTCTTGCACATTTCCAGCTCATGTGCTAATGCGTCTTCCAAATTCTTATCGTACATCACCTTGTTTCTTTATTTGCAAAAGTTGAAACTTATTAGTGAAATTAAGGTATCTAAGGTTATGTGTAGCATCTACAATACCAAATGACTCATCAAGATGAACTTTATCTTCTCTAAGATAACATCCACCATGAAAATCCCATAAAACCTAATACAAGTCTCTTCCAACAAGGTACATTTGAATACATGTCATGGACCTATTATCTTCAATTGTAGAACCCCTTAGATCAAATCCAAACTCAATAAAAATCAAAGGAACCACAATCTTAGAAGTTGGAAGAAATACAACTCTTTCTCTAACCCTATAATATTATTTCCACATATTCTATTCAATGGTTGCTTTGTCCAAATATCTTTCAACAATAACATAAACATCAACAATAACATAGACATTCAACACCAACAACATAAACAACAATAATAACAACATTCAAGAATGAAATTTTAGTATACATGCATGGTAGAGAAATTTTATGTACCAAAAATGTGATGAAGAAGTCAAAGAAAAAATAGTGTGAGTTTCATCCTTCATTCTTGCAAGTTACTCCATGTTCCTCCGTTTTTCCAGCATTTTTTCATTTACTAGAAACATTTGATCAAGAAATATAATGTTGACATTTTTCCATA